CTGTCCTCCAGCCCACCTCAGCCTCCCAAAGTCCTGGGATTATTGGCATGGGCCACCACACCAGCCTCTTTTCAGTTGTTTTCTGAAACATTGTGTTTGTGTGTGTGTGTGTGTGCACTTCTGTAAATGTTTATGAGTTTTCTTTTTTTGTTTGTTTGTTTTTGTTTTTGTTTTTTTTTTTGAGACGGAGTTTCGCTCTTGTTACCCAGGCTGGAGTGCAATGGCGCGATCTCGGCTCACCGCAACCTCCGCCTCCTGGGTTCAGGCAATTCTCCTGCCTCAGCCTCCTGAGATGTTTGTGAGTTTTCTTTTGTTCCTCTTGGTAGGTGAGACATTCTTTATAGCAGAGTTTTTTTTAAATAGTTTATTGCTGAGAAAAGGTCTGGGTTAAAAAAAAGTTTGGGTAAAAAAAATGTTTAGAACACACAAAGGCTAGGGGCATCAGTCATCATTTACTGATCCCTTCTCACTGTCCTTTTCCTGCCTCTTATTTACAAATGCCTAATGGCTTTGGGGTTTAGGGAGCAGCTTTTCCCTTCTCTTTTTCTGTTTTACGGTACCTCTGAAACACACTGCATTGTAATCCCTCCCAACTTGTGCTACCCTAGTCTTTCCCAGAAAGTAACTCCTAGTGGCAGTTTAGAGTGAAATGAAAATCAGAACTTGTCCCACCCATTCTATAATCTTCCAGTTCATTCATTCAGCAAAAGCTTATAGACCAGCTGATGTGTGCCACAAACAAAATCCTTGATCTCATGAAGGCTGCATTCTAGTGGGTAAAGATAAGAGATACCATCCAATAACTTTCCATCATACTTAAAAAAGATCCCCTTTTCATGCCTCAGGAGATGCTAAACATGTCAGAAGCCCCTTTCCATGTCTTCAACCTCACCTCTGCATTCTCCCCTTGCTGCCAGGTGGTGGGTTACACGCACCTTAGGGCTCTTTCACTTATTCATTGAGCATTTATAAAGTAACTAACTAAAAATACAAGATTATTTCTGGTAATGGCGAGCAGTTGTGAAGCAGCTTTATAAACTCCCAGAAGGGGTTGAGCAGGTGAGAACAGCCTTCCAAAATGGCAGATCTGTGAAAAGCTGAATGATACCCAGGAGCTAGTCTCAGTGAGGGCCTCTGGTAAGGTGACAGTTGAGCTGATGCCCACTGCAGTGAAGCTGATGACCTGGGCATTTCCTGTGTGCCTCAAAACAGAGGCAGGTGCTAAGATCCCTTTTCTCACAAGGGAAAATTGAGGCCCTGTGAGGTGAAGGCATTTTTTTAAGAATACATAGTTTACAAGTGGGCAGGACTGATATTTGTCTCATGACTCACGGTTGCTGGACACCAGAGCTGTTTCTGTGTTTAAACCTGGTCCCCTAAACCCTTTCTCGTTCTCACAGTTGACAAATAATATTTAATGTCATATTCTTTGCCAGATGGAATTACAGAACACTGCTCAATTTCCATCGTAGACAGTGAGAGGCTATGTGGCGTAGTGGCTGTGAGTGTGGGTTCTGGAGCCGGCCAGGTCAGATTTGACTATTTGAGTGACTCTCGACAAGTTTTTAACCTCTATTATGCTTCATTTTTTTTCCCATCTGTAAATGGGCATAATAATTGTCCCTGCTGGGTGTGGTGGCTCACATTTATAACCCCAACAATTTGGGAGGCTAAGGTGGAAGGATTGCTTGAGCCAGGAGTTTAAGACCAGCCTGGGCAACATAGGGAGACCCCATCTGTACAAAAAAATAGAAAAAAAATTAGCTGGGCTTGGTGGCACATGCCTATGATACCAGCTACTTTGGAGGCTGAGTCTGGAGGATTGCTTGAGCTCAGGAAGTTGAGAAGGCAGTGAGCTGTGTTACACCACTACACTCCAGCCTGAGTGACAGAGGGATACCCTGTCTCAAAAAAAAAAAAGTCTCTATCTCACAGGATTATCGTCAGAATTAAATCAGGTTAGTACATGTTAATTGTGTGTGTGGCAACATAGAAAGCATTTAATATTAGCTATTACTGTTGCTATTTTTCTTGTTAACCTAATTTCTCTGTCTTCCCCGCCCCCTCTCAATGAAAACAAAGTAAACATGCTTTCTTTTTTTTTTTTTTTAAATATATATATATATTTTATTGCATTTTAGGTTTTGGGGTACATGTGAACATGTAAGATTGTTGCATAGGTACACACATGGCAGTGTGGTTTGCTGCCTTCCTTCCCATCACCTATATCTGGCATTTCTCCCCATGTTATCCCTCCCCAACTTCGCACCCCCCCGCTGTCCTTCCCCTATTTTCCCCCACACAGACCCTAGTGTGTGATGCTTCCCTCCCTGTGTCCATGTGTTCTCATTGTTCAACACCCACCTATAAGTGAGAACATGCAGTGTTTGATTTTCTGTCCTTGTGTCAGTTTGCTGAGAATGATGGTTTCCAGGTTCATCCATGTCCCTTCAAAGGACATGAACTCATTGAGTAAACATACTTTCTTTCCAGAATTAGAGTAATATTCAGATTTCCTCAGTGGGACCATCATAAGTTCTTGGGTTCACCTTAGGTACATATCCTGCCAAACTCCAGACTTAATAGACTACAAAGTCAAAGCAAAATATTTTGGTTCTCTGAAGCAGTGGCTGGGTCAGGATCCTGTTTCTACATCCTGCCAGCTTATATGAACGGAAGAGATGGTGCAGGCTCCGCCTGCAAACCACAGCTTTGTTTTGAGCCAGCTTGACTTGACAGCTTCCCTATTTTACCTGCTGACTTCTTTAGCCCTGGTTTGGCAGCCCAAAGAGCAACTGAACCGGTTTATAGCTTGCCACTTACCACCAATGAAAACTGAGCAACTCCTAGGAAAATGAACGTTTAACTGAGCAACTCCTAGGAATATGAGGGTTTAACTGAGCAACTCCTAGCAAAATGAGGGTTTAACTGAGCAACTCCTAGGAAAATGAGGGTTTAACTGAGCAACTCCTAGCAAAATGAGGGTTTAACTGAGCAACTCCTAGCAAAATGAGGGTTTAACTGAGCAACTCCTAGGAATATGAGGGTTTAACTGAGCAACTCCTAGGAAAATGAGGGTTTAACTGAGCAACTCCTAGGAAAATGAGGGTTTAACTGAGCAACTCCTAGGAATATGAGGGTTTAACTGAGCAACTCCTAGGAAAATGAGGGTTTAACTGAGCAACTCCTAGGAATATGAGGGTTTAACTGAGCAACTCCTAGGAAAATGAGGGTTTAACTGAGCAACTCCTAGCAAAATGAGGGTTTAACTGAGCAACTCCTAGGAATATGAGGGTTTAACTGAGCAACTCCTAGCAAAATGAGGGTTTAACTGAGCAACTCCTAGGAATATGAGGGTTTAACTGAGCAACTCCTAGGAAAATGAGGGTTTACCTGAGCAACTCCTAGGAATATGAGGGTTTAATTGAGCAACACCTAGAAAAATGAGGGTTTAACTGAGCAACTCCTAGGAATATGAGGGTTTAACTGAGCAACTCCTAGGAATATGAGGGTTTAACTGAGCAACTCCTAGGAAAATGAGGGTTTAACTGAGCAACTCCTAGGAAAATGAGGGTTTAACTGAGCAACTCCTAGGAATATGAGGGTTTAACTGAGCAACTCCTAGCAAAATGAGGGTTTAACTGAGCAACTCCTAGCAAAATGAGGGTTTAACTGAGCAACTCCTAGGAATATGAGGGTTTAACTGAGCAACTCCTAGGAATATGAGGGTTTAACTGAGCAACTCCTAGGAAAATGAGGGTTTAACTGAGCAACTCCTAGGAATATGAGGGTTTAACTGAGCAACTCCTAGCAAAATGAGGGTTTAACTGAGCAACTCCTAGGAATATGAGGGTTTAACTGAGCAACTCCTAGGAAAATGAGGGTTTAACTGAGCAACTCCTAGGAATATGAGGGTTTAACTGAGCAACTCCTAGGAAAATGAGGGTTTAACTGAGCAACTCCTAGCAAAATGAGGGTTTAACTGAGCAACTCCTAGGAAAATGAGGGTTTAACTGAGCAACTCCTAGGAATATGAGGGTTTAACTGAGCAACTCCTAGCAAAATGAGGGTTTAACTGAGCAACTCCTAGGAATATGAGGGTTTAACTGAGCAACTCCTAGGAATATGAGGGTTTAACTGAGCAACTCCTAGGAATATGAGGGTTTAACTGAGCAACTCCTAGCAAAATGAGGGTTTACCTGAGCAACTCCTAGGAATATGAGGGTTTAACTGAGCAACTCCTAGGAAAATGAGGGTTTACCTGAGCAACTCCTAGGAATATGAGGGTTTAACTGAGCAACTCCTAGGAAAATGAGGGTTTACCTGAGCAACTCCTAGGAATATGAGGGTTTAACTGAGCAACTCCTAGGAAAATGAGGGTTTAACTGAGCAACTCCTAGGAATATGAGGGTTTAACTGAGCAACTCCTAGCAAAATGAGGGTTTAACTGAGCAACTCCTAGGAATATGAGGGTTTACCTGAGCAACTCCTAGCAAAATGAGGGTTTAACTGAGCAACTCCTAGGAATATGAGGGTTTACCTGAGCAACTCCTAGCAAAATGAGGGTTTAACTGAGCAACTCCTAGCAAAATGAGGGTTTAACTGAGCAACTCCTAGGAATATGAGGGTTTACCTGAGCAACTCCTAGGAAAATGAGGGTTTAACTGAGCAACTCCTAGGAATATGAGGGTTTACCTGAGCAACTCCTAGCAAAATGAGGGTTTAACTGAGCAACTCCTAGGTAAATGAGGGTTTAACTGAGCAACTCCTAGCAAAATGAGGGTTTAACTGAGCAACTCCTAGGAATATGAGGGTTTACCTGAGCAACTCCTAGGAAAATGAGGGTTTAACTGAGCAACTCCTAGCAAAATGAGGGTTTAACTGAGCAACTCCTAGGAATATGAGGGTTTACCTGAGCAACTCCTAGCAAAATGAGGGTTTAACTGAGCAACTCCTAGCAAAATGAGGGTTTAACTGAGCAACTCCTAGGAATATGAGGGTTTACCTGAGCAACTCCTAGCAAAATGAGGGTTTAACTGAGCAACTCCTAGGAAAATGAGGGTTTAACTGAGCAACTCCTAGGAATATGAGGGTTTAACTGAGCAACTCCTAGCAAAATGAGGGTTTAACTGAGCAACTCCTAGGAAAATGAGGGTTTAACTGAGCAACTCCTAGGAATATGAGGGTTTAAATGTAGTTGATTTTTTTTTTCTCTTGTCTTTTTAAGTTTTCCTTTTGATGTGTCAAACTGTAGAAGAACTACATTCTGGCTGGGCACAGTGGCTCATGCCTGTAATCTCAACACGTTGGGAGGCTGAGGCAGGTGGATCACGAGGTAAGGAGTTCAGGACCAGCCTGGCCAATATGGTGAAACCCATGTTTAGTCTATTGTTTAATAAATAAAATTGCGTCCTCAGAGTTTTAGTCTCTACTAAAAATACAAAAATTAGCCAGGCGTAGTGGCAAGCACCTGTAATCCCAGCTATTTGGGAGGCTGAGACGGGAGACTTGCTTGAACCTGGGAGGCAGAGGTTGCAGTGAGCCAAGATCATGCCATTGTACTTCAACCTGGGCAACAGAGTGAGACTTCGTCAAAAAAAAAAAGAAAACCTACATTCATCTTTTACAGGAAGAACACGATAGTACATTTGTGGTCTCTTCTGAAACATGTAGATCTTTGGGTGTATGTTCATTTTCAACTTTAATAAGCATCAGGACTTTATTTTTCCATTTTGATTGGAAATCTACAATTATATTTACTTTTTTTCTGGTTCTTTTTAAAGAATATAAAACACAGATTAACATTTCCTTGAATCTGGATCTTAATGATGAATGGCTTCTCATGGTAAATATCAGGGCTTAATGAAGAGTGTAGACTGGTACATGGGCCACAACTGGTTTCTTTCTTTCTTTCTTTTTTTTTTTGAGGCAGTCTTACTCTGTCCCCCAGCCTGGAGTGCAGTGGTACAGTCATAGTTCACTGCAGCCTCAAACTCCTGAACTAAAGTGATCCTCTGACCTCAGTCTTCCAAATACAGGTGCACCATGTCAGGCTAAATTTTTAATTTTTTGTAGAGATGGGGTTTTGCCATGTTGCCCTGGACTCAAGCAACCTCAGCTTCCCAAAGTGTTGGGATTACAGGCGTGAGCCACCATCCCTGGCCGCCTTTTTTTTTTTTTTTTTTAAAAAAAAACCTAATTTGTTATGATAGATAAAATGTTTGAGCATCAGGCTGGGCACTGGGGCTCACGCCTGTAATCCCAGCACTTTTGGAGGCCAAGGTGGGTGGATTACCTGAGGTCAGGAGTTCGAGACCAGCCTGGCTAACATGGTGAAATCCTTCTTCTACTAAAAATACAAAAAAATTAGCCAGGTATGGTGGCTAGTGCCTGTAATCCCAGATACTTGGGAGGCTGAGGCGGGAGAATCACTTGAACTTGGGAGGCAGAAGTTGCAGGGAGCCAAGATTGTGCCACCGCACTCCAGCCTGGGCAACAAGAGTGAAACTTCATTTCGAAAAATGAAATAAAATGTTTGAGCATCTATATTAATAAAACATAGATCCTTCACATCTTTGAGGAGTGTCAGTGAAGCTCTGAATATGATGGTGTAATATTTGTACTGCAGTCACTGTCATATTAGCTACCTTTTACGTTGACTTCACAAGCAGGTTTTTATTTGGTGCTTTCAATCACAGGTGATGGAATGGGGCAGTGTAACACGCCTTAAGTCCATTGTTTAATACAATTATGTCCTCAGAGTTAAAATATGTGGAAAGTAGTTGACAGCATTCTGTCATCTCTCCCATGTACTGTTTTGCTGTGGATGAAAATGAATAAGCAACTCTGGAAACCAAGGTCCTCTGGGAACATAAAAAGTCTTGTGGCTATTAATGGATTTAATTGTATTTCCTCTCTGCCACCAAGATGTGTGATAAATTGTTTATGCCCTCGCTGTTAGTGGGGAGAATTGTTCATTAAATGCATGTAATATCATTATGGTTTTGTTTTTATTACTTGTAGATAGTCTTATCTCTCCTTTTAAAAAAATATAAAAAGAATGGCTGTAATTATTAAACGTTGGCCATTAATCCCTTTGGTTGACGTTTCCCTCTGTGGAGAAAAAGGAAAGTGTCATCTCACTGGGGAAGCAAGCTGAACTGGAAATGGGACATGGTCTCCTACATCTAAGGTTTGGCAGAAGGTTGGTTTGGTATGCTTTGACTAGGGCCAAGTGATATGTTTACTTAGGTTCCAGAAGGGCCTGGTTCTAAGGCAGCCACACTGATAAATGAATGCCTTGTATCAGGTGTGGAGAGGCTTCATTGTATTTAAATCCACTTAAGAGGACAGTTATAGAAGAATGACTGTTTAGGACTCTGGCTCTATTTTCTTGTCATTTAGGTATTTCTGCCAATTATAATAAATGTGGAGGAAGTCAGCAAATTGCTATGTCTCTTTAAAACCATATGCCAGAAATGCTTTAACATTAAAGTTTGATTTCTCACTTGGCTTTACCCCACCATGTGAGTTTGGATAAGGCTTTGTAACTTCCTGCGCATACCTCTACTGTTTCCTCATTTAGTCAAAAGATACTTATTAAGCATACATTACAGACCAGTCACTGCTTGGATACTGAGGAGAGAGCAATGAACAAAACAAACAAATTCCAGCTTTTGTGGAGCTTACCTTCTGGGGCCAGGGTGGGCAGCAGGCAGTAACAAGTGAGTGAGCAAATGCTAGGGTGTGCCGGACAAGAAAAAATGGGATAAGTGGGTGGAGGGAGGAGGTCATGGTTTTAAACAAGGTGGTCAAGAGAGACCTCAGAAGGCAAGGCAGCCACATGGAACACACATTTAGGCAGGCTGGGCAAATTTTATGGGATGAGGCCTCCCAGTAGAGCGAAGAAGAAGTATTGCAGGTTCCAGAGGATCCAGGAGGCCAGTGTGGCTAGAGCCAGGTGAATTAGAGAGAGAGAGTAATAGATAAAGTCAAAGAGGTAAAAGGGGAGGTCTCACAGGCCAGATCTGTAGGACTCTGGCTTTGACCTTGAGTGAGATGAGAAGTCATTAGGCTTTTGAGGCAGCAAAGAGGCGTGATGATCACTTCCACCCTAAAAGAACCACTGACCACTGTATGTGGTCTGTAAAGAAAGGCTGGGGTGGAAGCAGGGAGTCCAGTCAGTGGGGGCTGCTGTGATCATCTAGGTGGGAGCTGATGCTGGCTTGGACCAAGGTGCTGGAGGTAGAGATGAGAAAGTGGAGGGAGTCTGAGCATATTTCAAGGCTAAAGAGTTTGCTTATGATCAGATTTGAGGTATGACAGAACAAAAGGATTCAAGGATGACACCAATATTTCATTTAACTTCTTTGTGTCTGTTTTCTGTTTGTTTTGTTTTAAAATAATTATTGTCATCCCTTTATCTTAGCAACTTTCTTTGAGAACGAGATCTGTGTAACAGAGCTCTTGAGGGAGTTTTTTTGTTTCTACTTTTGCCATTTATAATTAATTGGAAATAAATTTCTTGGGAATTTACTGGGTGACGAAATAATTCATAGGTTGGCACTTGATTGTTTTAAAAACCTGGATGAGTTCTTATGCTTTAGGCCACAGTGATGCTGTGGGAGTGGCTGAGTCTCAATATGCCTAATTTTCTGCTGCTGTGTTTCCTCTGTCAGATGCCCTCTCTGCAATCCTTACTTATTTGATGTTGTCCAAAGAGGGAGATTGCAGAAGCCATTAATAACTGTAGCCCCATAGCGTTTGTTGCTAACCCAGCAAAATAGAAGAGTCCAAAACATCATGGTTTTTTCTTTTTTAATATTTTTTTCTTTTTCTAACGTAGCTATAAGAGTGTTTTCCTTTTTTAAATGACTGGTTTGCTGTATCAGACAGCCTGTCTGCGCTTCCTAGGAGCTTCTCTGTAAGGAGGAATACTGCTGCAGAATGATCTAATTTGTGTAATCTTGAAGGTGGAGCTATTTTTGAAAGAGAACAGAAAAATAATGGAGCCCTTTGCTCGAGATTGCCAAACCGGATCTTACTGTTTTAAAAGGCAGAGGACTCAGTTAGAGCTTGTAGTTTGAACTCCTGTTTCCCTCTCACTCTGCTCATTATGTCTAGATCAAATTTGTGATAGATATACTTCGATAATTACTCTTGAAAATGACAGCTGGGTTTTTGTTTGTTTATTTTGTTCATTCTTTTACATTTTAGATAAGTGTATTATTCAACTTGTGATTTTGATGAGGTGAGTGGTATAAAAGAACAGTTACCAAGTTTAGGAATTAGAATTCTCTTTACAGTTCTTATAATAGAATGATGGTGTGTAGCTAGTTCTCAACCCCGTCAGACCCTATGACCACCTTTAATATCCTGAAATGAAATTCCCAGATAAAATCTACTGACATGTCTACAAAGTCTTAACTGTAATATGAAAGGAAAACAAAAAGGAACGTTATGGTAATAAAATATGTATTTCTGTGTGTAAATTCTCAGAAGACAAATTTAAATGCTCACAACACATTGGAAACCACAGCCATCAGGTTCTTGTGGGTACACATGGCTTTATCTTTGTGAGTATGACACCTATAAGTAGAGGCCAATACAGATGTATTCTGTTAGTGATTCAGATATGTAGCATTGCCACTGGTGATATGATTTTCCAATATGGTGAATAAATCTTCATAAAGTTCTACACAAAACAAAGTATAATCTTGTCCTTTTTTATATAATAGCTACATTCCTGGAAAATTTAGTGTATATTTAGTGGTGAAAAAGTGCTTATGATTTCTTTGTAAGATCTCTTTAGGTCTAGGTTGAGATAGTTATAAACTGCTTCTTACTTAGATGATGTGTCTGGCAGGGCCAAAGGAAGATTTGTTATAAATCTCATGAAGCTTAAGTTTCAGGGCCCTGTACATGCACAGGCTACTTACAGGGCACTATACCTAGTTAGAAAAACAGAAGTAAAAACACCTTTTTTTTCCCCCTTGAGACAGGGCCTCATTCTGTCTCCCAGGTTGGAGCACAGTGGTGCGATCTCAGCTCATGGCAACCTCCGCCTCCCAGGCTCAAGTGATTCTTGTGCCTCAGCCTCCTGAGTAGCTAGAACTATAGGTGCACACCACCACACCTGGCCAATTTTAAAATTTTTTGGTAGAGATGGGGTTTCACCAGGTTGGCCAGCCTGATCTCTAACTCCTGACCTCAAGTGATCCACCTGCCTCTGCCGCTCAAAGTGCTGAGGTTACAGGCATGGGTGTGGCCAAAAACACCTCTTGAGCACATGTTTTCAGGGCCTGCTGAGGCTGTGTCATGGAAAAAAAACAAAAAACCTTTTGTTTGAAATGTCATGTATACTCAGAAAAGGACATATATAATAAGTGCAACTTGATAAATTTTCATAAACTGAACGTACATAACCAGCACTCACATCAAGAAACAACATTACCAACTCCCCAGAGCATTACCATGCCCCCTTCTAATACCACCCTTCCCACTCTGCCAATGATAACTAGTTTCCTGACTTCTAGCGGCATGCATTAGTTTTGCAATGGATGAAGTACAAAATAACACTTGTGTTTTTTTGTTTTCTTTTGTTTTGTTTTGAGACAGAGTCTTGCTCTGTCACCCAGGCTGGAGTACAATGGCATGATCTTGGCTCACTGCAACCTCTGCTTCCCAGGTTCAAGCAATTCTCCTGCCTCAGCCTCCAGAGTAACTGGGATTACGGGCATGCACTACCATACTCCGCTAATTTTTTATATTTTGTAGAGGAAGGGTTTCACCATATTGGCCAGGCTCTCGAATGCCTGACCTCAGGTGATCCACCCGCCTTGGTCTCCCACAGTGCTGGGATTACAGGTGTGAGCCACCGTGCCCAGCCAAGAACACTTGTATCTAACTTCTGCTGCTCAACATTATGTTTATGTGATGCGGACGCAACTCCTTGTTGCAATGAGTTGTAGTGAATGCTTTCTTTTTGCTATGCAGTACTGTATTCCATGGTGTGAGTATATTGCAGTTTGTGTAACCAGTCTGCTTTTGATGATCTATGGGAGATTTCCAGTTTGGGCTCTGCTGAATAGTGCTACCGTGGGCATTCTTGCACCTGCTCGTTGTAGACTAAAGCACTCATTTCTCTGGAGTATATACCCAGGAGTTGGATTGCTGGATTGTGGGGTATATGGACAGTATATTCAGCTGAGCAATATATGAAAGTTCCTGTTACTGCACATCTTCACCAACAATTGTTTTTGTTTATTTTGCCATTTTCTTTTCTTTTTTTTATTCTGCACTTAGTGGTAAGATATTTGCACTGTTTTGCCTTTTTCAAGGCAAAGAATTGGGCCGGAGTAAAACGGTTTCACCTATGGCTTTAATTTGTATTTTCCCGACAATGTTGAGCACCTTTTTATATATTTTTTGGCCATCTGGGTATCCTCTTTTATGAACTGTCTGTTCAGGTCAGTTGCGCATTTATCTATCTCTCTGTTTTTTATTTACCTTTAGGAGTTCTTCTTTTTTTTTTTTTTTTGAAATGGAGGCTCACTCTGTTGCTCAGGCTAGAGTGCCGTGGCGTGATATTAGCTCATTGCAGCCTCTGCCTCCCAGGTTCAAGAGATTCTCCTTCCTCAGCCTCCTGAGTAGCTGGATTACAGGCATGTACCACCATGCCTGTGTAATTTTTATATTTTTAGTAGAGATGGGGTTTCACCATGTTGGTCAGACTTGTTTCGAACTCCTGACCTTGTGATCTACCTGCCTGAGCCTCCCAAAGTGCTGGGATTACAGGTGTGAGCCACTGTGCCCAGCAAGGAGTTCTTTGTCTCAAAAAAAGTTCTTTCTCATACTCTGTGGGTTGCTTTTTTACTCTTTATTTATTTATTTTATGGCATGATATCATCAAGCAACCCTTTCACTCTTTTAATGAACAGAAATTATTAATATAGTTCAATTTATCAATTTTTGCCTTTGTTTAGTGCCGTTTATGTTCTATGTAAGAAATCTTTGCCTACTTCAGGATCATGAAGATGTCCTCTAATGTTTTCTTCTAAAAGTTGTATTGTGTACCTTCCACATTTAGAGTTCCAGTCCATCTGAAATTGGTATTTTTATGTGGTATGAAATGTGGGTTAATACACATTTCCCCTGATAGAAGTACTCAACCCTGAACCATTTATTTACAGGGTCATCCTTTTCCCACTGCAATGCATTATTACCTTGATCACAAGTGCCTTGACATTTTACATGTGGTTCCTTTTTGTTTTTCTTTCTTGGCCTTAAACTGAGGTAAGTTTGTTTTGTTTGTTTTTTTAGAGATGGGGTTTTACCATGTTGGTCAGGCTGGTCTTGAACTCCTGATGTCAGGTGATCCGCCCGTCTCAGCCTCCCAGAGTGCTGGGATTACAGGCGTAAGCCACCGTGCCCGGCCTTTACATGTGGTTCTAATTTTAGACTTTCTATTCTGTACCGTTGGTCAGTCTGTCCATCCTTGCATCAGTGTCGCCCTGTCTCAGTGACCGTATCTTTATAATAGGCCTGTTACGTAGAATGGATTCCTGCTTTGTGCTTCTTCATAATTGCCTTAAGATAGTCTTTGCCTTTTGCATTTCCTTTAGAGTCAGCTTTTCAGTTTCCTTAAAAACTTCTCTTGGGGGAGAAATTTTATTCAGGATTGCATTGGGTCTATGGATTGATTTGCAGAGAATTGAAATCTTTAAAATTGAATCTTTTAATTCATGGACATATATCCCTTTATTTAGGTTGTGGTTTTGCACATTTTAGCATAGATGTATTCTGCACCTTTCTTTAGATCTATTACTATATATTTGATATTTTTAAACCCTAAAGCTAATTTTTTCTGCTTTTTCTTATAGAGAACTCTAACCTTTATAAGCTGTAGGTTCTATAAAATCTCGTTCTGTCACTGGGCAGAATGTTTTCACTTACATGAATGTTGAAAATCACGTGGGAAGCTAGTCATTTCTTAATTGTGCAGGACAGACTTCTGTTTACAAGCTTCCTCTTAGCCTCCCACGTCACTAGAATTACAGATGTGAACCACCACACCTGGCTAGTTTTTGTATTTTTAGTAGAGACGGGGTTTTACCATGTTGTCCAGGCTGGTCTTGAACTCCTGAGCTCAAGCAGTCCATCTACATCAGCCTCCCAAAGTACTAGTGTTACAGACATGAACTACTGCGCCCAGGCTGGTTTTATTTTTTGATAGTCCAAATTTTCCAGTAGTTTTTTTTCTCGTTGTTGTTGTTATTTTGAGATGGAGTCTTACTCTGTTACCCAGTCTGGAGTATAGGGATGTGATCTCGGCTTACTGCAAACTCTGCCTCCCAGGTTCAAGCAATTCTCCTGCCTCAGCCTCCCAAGTAGCTGGGATTACAGGCACATACCACCATGCCTGGCTAAGTTTTGCATTTTTAGTAGAGACAGGGTTTCACCATATTGGCCAGGCTGGTCTCAAACTCCTGATCTCAAGTTATACACCTACCTCGGCCTCCCAAAATGTTGGTATTACAGGCGTGAGCCACCACGCCTGGCCTCATTGTTGCGTTTATTTGTTTATTACTATTATTTTTTGAGACGAAGTTTCACTCTTGTTGCCCAGGCTGGAGTGCAATGGTGCGATCTCGGCTCACCGCAACCTCCACCTCCTGTGTTCAAGCGATTCTCCTGTCTCAGCCTCTTGTGTAGCCGGGATTACAGGCATGCACCACCCTTGGCTAATTTTTTTCTTTTTGAGACAGAGTTTTGCTCTTGTTACCCAGGCTGGAGTGCAATGGCGCGTTCTCAGCTCACTGCAACCTCCGCCTCCTGAGTTCAGGCAATTCTCCTGCCTCAGCCTCCTGAGTAGCTGGGATTACAGGCACGTGCCACCATGCCCAGCTAATTTTTTGTATTTTTTAGTAGAGACGGGGTTTCACCATGTTGACCAGGATGGTCTTGATCTCTTGACCTCGTGATCCACCCGCCTCAGCCTCCCAAAGTGCTGGGATTACAGGCTTGAACCACCGTGCCCAGCCTAATTTTGTATTTTTAGTAGAGACGGGTTTTCGGCATGTTGCCCAGGCTGGTCTCAAACTCCTGACCTCAGATGAGCCACCATGCCCGGCTAAGATAGGCATTTTAGTTAGATTATTAGGTTTGTTTTCTTCCTTCCCTCCCTCCCTTCCTTCCTTGTTTCTTTCCTTCTTTCCTTCGTTAGTTCGTTTCACAATGTCACCAAGGCTGGAGTGCAGTGATGCAATCATGGCTCATTACAGCCTTAACTTCCCAGGCTCAATGAGCCACGCGCCTCAGCCTCCCAAAGTGCTGGGATTGCAGGTGTGAGCCACCGTATCCAGCTAGTAGTTTATTCTTTTTTATTCCCAAATATTTCATTGAAACAATCTGCATATCCAGTCTCCTGTTGATGAACGTATAGGTTCTTTACAGCTTTTGGCTTTTATGAATAAAGTTGCTATGAACATTTTTCTTTTCATGGACATATATTTTTATTTCTCTCTCTCTTTTCTTTTCAAATGTAGAGACCAGTCTCCCTTTGTTGCTCATGCTGGTTTCGAACTCCTGGCTTCAGGCAGTCCTCTTGCCTCAGCTTCCCAAAGTACTGGGATTATCGGGATGAGCCACCACACCCAACCCCATTTTCATTTATTTGGGGGTACATATGTAGGAGTGGAATGGTATGTCTTAGAGTAGGCATATGTTTATCTTTGTAACTGCCAATTTTTCAAAGCAATTGTATCAGTTTATATTCCCACTAACTGAGGCAGGCAGATTCTAAAGTGGCCCCCATGATCCCTTGTCTCCTAGTATTTATGGCTGAGTAGTCCTGTGCCCTTGGGTGCAGGTGAGACCTATGATTGGCTCCTGACTAATAGAATATGGCAGAGGTGACAGGACATGTGTGGTCATGTATACCTGATTATTCTGAGTCAGATTGTAATACCCATTTTGTGAGGAGCCTCTCTCCCTTGCTGGCTTTGGTGTTGTGTTGTGAGCTGCCTATGGAGAGGACCCTGTGGCAGGGAGCTCAGAGCAGCCTCAAACCCACAGCCAGCCAGAAACTGTGGCCCTCAGTCCAGCAGCCCACAAGGAACTCTGAGTATTGCCAGCAACCATGTGAGCTTGGAAGCAGATACTATCCCACTCAGCCCTCAGATGAGACCTTAGTCCCAGCCAACACCTTGACGGCACCTTATGAAGGACTCAGCTAAGCTGTGCCTGGGCTTTTGACCCATAGAATCTGTGAGATAATAAACATGCATTATTTTAAGCGGCTGCTACGTTTTTGCCAGTGTTGTTATGCTACAATAGATAACTAATACTAGCAATATAGCTCCTGTTGCCCTACATCTCCACTGACATTTAGTGTCTGTCTTTTAAATTTTAGCCATGTTAGTGGGTATGAAATGGAAACCCTGAGGCTTTTATTTGCATTTCCCTAATGACATTGAATAACTGCTAATTGGACATTTGGATATCTTCTTTTGTGAAGTATCTGTTCAAGTCTCTTTCCTATTTTAAAAATTGGTAGGCCAGGCTCGATGGCTCATATCAGTAATCTCAGCACTTGGGAGGCCAAGGTGGGCGGGTCACCTGAGCTCCAGAGTTTGAGACCACCCTGGGCAATATGGTGAAACCTCGTCTCTGCTAAAATACGAAATACTAGCTGGGTTTAGTGGCAGACACCTGTAGTCCCAGCTACTCGGGAGGCTGAGGCATGAGAATCATTTGAGTTCAGGAGGTGGAGGTTGCAGTGAGCCAAGATCACACCACCACACTCCAGCTTGGGCTACAGAGTGAGACTCTGTCTCAAAAAATATAAAATAATAATAATAGGTATGTTTGTCTTTTTATAATTTATTTGTAGAAGTTCTTTATATATGGCAGGTTAAGTTCTTTATCAGATATATGTATGTGTCTGCATGAATGTATGTTGTATGTTTGTGTGTATATCTTATATAGTTTTCTTCTAGTCTGATGGGGAGGAACTTGCACATTCCTCTCACCTTATGCAAATTTCCAAACTGTTCACATTTTACTGCATTTATTATGCTATTTCTCTCTCTAAGTCAGTTTTTTTTCTGGGTCATTTGAGACCATGTTATGCACATACTGCCCTATCACCCTTAAATATTTTAGTGTTTATTTCCCCCCAATTAAGGGCACTCCCAAATAACCACTATATACCCCTTTAAGTCAGGTAATTAGCAGCGATAAAACCCTGTTGTCCTGTCCATAGACCCCATTCACATTTTGCTGCCCCAACTATGTCTCATTTCTGTTTTGTCCCAGGATCCTGAGAGGAGTGTGCATTGCACCCAGCTGTCACGTCTCTTCACATCCTCCAGTCTAGGATCATCCCTTTGTCATTCCCGGTCATTCTTGTCCCAATCGTTTCATATTCTGTAGGATGATTGGCAAGGAGGTGGATCGTGTAGTATTTACTTAAGACCAAACTCAGGTCATGATTTCTTGACAGAAGTATCACAAAGATGATGCAGTAATAATCTCAGCACATCACATCAAGGGGGGCACGTTATGTTAACCAGCCCTGTTACTGCTGTTGTTGGCCCTGATCACCTGGTCATGTTGGTGTCTGCCAGGTATTTGTTTTTCTTACTGTAATGCCATTATTTTTCCTTTCTTCCTTTCCTTTTTCTTTTCCTTTTTCCTTTTTTTTTTCCTGAGATGGAGTCTTACTGTAGCCCAAGCTGGAGTGCGGTGGCGTGATCTTGGCTCACTGCAACCTCCACCTCTGGGGCTCAAGCAATTCTCCTGCCTCAGCCTCCCAAGTAGCTGAGACTACAGGTGCACACCACCATGCCTGGCTAATTTTTTTGTATTTTTAGTAGAGACAGGGTTTTGCTATGTTGCCCTGGGTGGTCTTGGACTCCTAAGCTCAGGCGATCTACCCACCTCAGTCTCCCAAAGTGCTGGGATTACAGGCATGAGCCGTCGCACCCGGCCTGTTTTTCTTTTCATAACTGATGAGTGTTTTGTGTGGAGACAATTTGCGATTATGCCAATATCCTGTTCCTCCTTGAACTTCAGTCAGTCACCACTATGTAGTTGCCAAATGATGATTTTTTTGTTTGTTTTCATTAATCCTTCTACATTTGTACATTGGCCTTCCAATATCAGCTCATTGCAACCTCTACCTCCTGAGCTCAAGTCATCCTCCCACCTCAGTCTCCCAGGTAGCTGCTACCACAGACATGCACCACCACACTAGCTAATTTTTGTAGTTTTTGTAGAGATGGGATTTTGCCATGTTGCCCAGGCTAGTCTTGAATTCCTGAGCTCAAGTGGTCTACCCACCTCAGCCTCCCAAATGCTGGGATTACAGGCATGAGACACCATGCCTGGCCTGTATCTGTTTTTTTTTTTTTCTTTTGAGATGGAGTTTCAGTCTTGTTGCCCAGGCTGGAGTCCAGTGGCACAGTCTTGGCTCACTGCAACCTCCGCCTTCTGGGTTCAAACAATTTTCCTGCCTCAGCCTCCCTGGTAACTAGGATCATAGGCATCCACTACTACACCTGGCTAATTTTGTATTTTTAGTAGAGATGGGGTTTCACCATGTTGGTCAGGCTGGTCTTGAACTCTTGACCTTACGTGATCTGACTGCCTTGGTCTCCCAAAATACTGGGATTACAGGCATGAGCCACCGTGCCTAGCCTATTTCTTTATATATCTTAAAAACCATGTATTCAGACTTATATCTTAAATTTCATTGTAACATTTTAGAGTTTTCTCCAGCCTAAGCCCATTGCATGTTTGTAGGTACCTCTTCCAAGTGTGAGAAAGCTGGCTTTCATTTTCCTCAATGTATTTATTTATTTGCTCATTGCAACTGGTCTTCCAACTACCCTGACCTTGTCTTCTGTCTGCCATATCTGCATGTGCCCTCACACCCCCGCCCCAGCACCCTGTGTCCTTGAGCACTAGTAGGTGGAAGCAGGAAAACAAACGTGTAAACTTCATAACAATGACTCATAAGACAGTAGAGGTGGAAACAAGAAGCCGATTCACTCTGCAAAATCATAAGTAGTATTTGTTCCATTATCTACTGTTGTATAAAAAAGCCTCTCCAAAAGTTATCACTTAAAATAAGGGCAGAACTGTATTTGGGCAGAGCTCAGCAATAATACTCAATTCTCTCTGCGGCACTCAAGCTAAGTGGGCTGGTTCAAAGTTGGAGGGTCCAGGGGCGGAGGCTAGAATCTTGTGCAGGCGTCCTTACCCATGTGATGTCTGGCGGCTGATGCCAGCTATTAGCTGGGACCTCTGTGAGGACTGTGGCTGGAACACCTGTCGTGGCCTTTCCAAGTGGCTGCTTGGCTTCCTCACAGTACAGTGGCTGGGTTCCAAAGGCAGGCATCACACAAGCAAGAGTGAGCCGGTGGAAGCCTCAATGCCTGGCCTCCCCTAGCCTTTAAAGTCACATGGCCTCATTTCTACTGCATTCTGCTGGTTAGAAGGAAGTCACCAATGCCAGCCATATTCAAGGAGAGGGTAATTTGTTTCCACTTTTGACAGAGAAGACTGTCAAAGAATTTATGCATATGTTTTAAGACTGGAACAGAATTTTAAAATATTGTTTTCTGGATGAATGGAAGATTCATTTTTATAGTTGCATTTGTCCAATATTTTAAATTCATTTTGTTTAAAAGTTTTAAACACTTATATCTACTAGTACATAGATATGCTTGCCCCATTTCCCTTTCTCTTCACTTTCTCTTTTTGCAGAACACTCTGATGCCAGCTAACTCATGTATGCATCTGTTCATGCTTTTCTTCATTCTTGTGTAATACAGAAATGTATATACACATACATACAGTGGGTTGGGAATATTGTTTTTAAAAAATAGAATCACATTAAAACTAATTGTTACACCTTTTCTGAACACCTTGGCGAAATCTCTATAAATCAGGATATTTTGTTCTAATTTTTTTTTAGACGCTGTGCATATTCTATTTTCTGATTTGGTTATTTGATCATGAGGGGATAGGATACCGGACTGGGGGAATAGGAATAGACAGGGACAGGCTTCAAAGAAAGAGTAGTCAGGAATGAGAAAGAGGAGGATTATTAGGTATTCCTGGGGTCCTCAACCTGATATGTCATTGAAGGAGATGGGAAGTTGGGAAAATGGTGGTGGGGAGGTGTGTTGGTTGGTTTTAGCAGGGAAATGAATATTTTTTTGTATGCACTAAAATTACCTAGCAGGCAGTTAAATACATAGGAGCAGGGCGTGAGTCCAAGGATAGGACTAGAGTTGATAGACAAAGCTATAAAGAGAGATGGTTAATGGCGGGAGAGCTGTGTCTAGCCTAGCATCACGTACTGTTAGTGGTGGGCCCAGACAGTGACTGAAAGGGCTTCATTACAGACCAGGGCCCTGTGTATTTATACTTTATACATTAAGTTCTGATCTTTAAAAAGCTGTCAGTTTTTTAAGGAGAGTTTTTATTTTCATTTTTTATGGTGTAGGCCAAAGGAATCTTTTGCTAAATATAACAGTGTGAATTTGCTAGTCTTTCTGAGACATTGAAGGCATTTAAAATTTGAAACCAGAGCTACCTGATGAGAACATCCTTGATCTCCAAATCAAACCAGCCTAGGTCATGTGTAATAATTAGTTCAATTGAATGGTTGAAGAAGGATTTCTTTCTCTTCCCCTTTTATATTACAGAGGAGATCTGCAGTACAGCTAGAGAAGGCATGTAGAGTGAACAGGACAGACATGTGATTCTGACCCTGATAAGCACTCTGCTTCTGTTGGGTTTATTTATTTATTTTATTTTTATTTTTATTTTATTTTTGAGACTGAGTCTTGCACTGTTACCCAGGCTGTAGTGCAGTGGCACTATCTCAGCTCACTGCAGCCTTCTCCTCCTGGGTTCAAACAGTTCTCCTGGCTCAGCCTCCCAAGTAGCTGGGACTACAGGTACCCACCGCCACGCATGGCTAATTTTTTAATATTTTTCCCATGTGGCTTGATTTTCCTTTTTAATCTTCGATAGATTAGAGATGAAGATTAGTAGATTTAGTAGATACGGGATTTTACCATGTTGGCCAGGATGATCTTGATCTCTTGACCTCATGATCCACCCGCCTCGGCCTCCCAGAGTGCTGGGATTACAGATGTGAGCCACCGCACCCTGCCTGCTTTATTTATTATTATCATTATTTTTTATTTTGAGACAGGTCTCACTCTCTTGCCCAGGCTGGAGTGCAGTGGCGTGATCTTGGCTCACTGCAACCTCTGGCTCCCGGGTTCAAGCAATTCTCCTGCCTCAGCCTCCCAAGTAGCTGGGACTACAGGTGCACACCACCACATGCCTGGCTAATTTTTGCATTTTTAATAAGGAAGGGGTTTCACCATGTTGGATAGGCTGGTCTGGAACTCCTGACCTCAAGTGATTCATCTACCTTGGCCTCCCAAAATGCTGGGATTATAGGCCTGAGCCACTATGCCCAACCAAATTTACTATTGTTAAAAATACTGGTGGCTGGCCAGGCATAGTGGCTCATGCCTGTAATCCCAACACTTTTGGAGGCCAAGGTGGGTGGATCACGAGGTCAGGAGTTCAAGACAAGACTGACCAATATGGTGAAACCCTGTCTCTACTAAAAATACAAAAAAATTAGCCAGACGTAGTGGCACGTACCTATAGTTCGAGCTACTCAGGAGGCTGAGGCAGGAGAATCACTTGAACCGGGAGGTGGAGGTTGCAGTGAGCCAAGACCACGCCACTGCGCTCCAGCCTGGGTGACAGAGCGAGACTGTCTCAAAAAAAAAAAAAAAAAAAAAAATACTGGTGGCCTTGAAATCAGTGTAAAATAATAATGTCATCTTTTTAGGAATAAAAAAATCTTGTTCTCCCCATGCCCCACCAGCTGTAGGAAAATGGAGAGAAATGGTTGTTATTTTCTCCTTGTAGGTTGGATTACCAAAACCCAGAGTGAGATGACCTGTGAACTTTATTTTATTTTATTTTATTTTATTTATTTATTTTTGAGACGGAGTCTTACTCTGTGTCCCAGGCTGGAGTGCAGTGGCACGATCTTGGCTCACTGCAACCTCCACCAACCAGGTTCAAGCCATTCTCCTGCCTCAGCCTCCCGAGTAGCTGGGATTAAAGGCATGAGCCACCATACCCAGCTAATTTTTGTATTTTTAGTAGAGAATGGGTTTTACCATGTTGGCCAGGCTGGTCTGGAACTCCTGACCTCAAGTGATCCATCTGCCTGGGCCTCCCAAAGTGCTGGGATATAGGCATGAGCCACCAAGCCTGGCCAACTTGTGAGTTTTATATAAATGGTACAGTTGAAATGATGAAAGTCCTTAAGATTTAATTTTGATTAGGGGAAGTGAGTGAAAGGTGCTGCTCTTACTGGTTTTCCCTGTAGTCTGTTTGGTCATTTTTCAGATAATTTCAACAGAATGTGGGATGTCAATTATATGTAAAGTACACGGAGAAAGCTGCAAAGATGTGTGTGACTCTGGCATGTCCTTAGAGAGCTCCCCATCTTCCTGTGAATGGCTCACTGCAAGAGAGAGCAGATTGTAATAAATAACAATTAGAGTTACATGGGATGTGATTCAGGAGAAAAGGGCATTAGTTCCTTTAGAATCTAGAATTTGACCTGGAATTCTTTGGATTTTTTTTTTTTTTTTGAGGCAGAGTCTGGAGCTGGAGTGCACTAGTACGATCTCAGCTCACTGCAGCCTTCACCTCTTGAATTTAAGTGTTTCTCCTGCCTCAGCCTCCCCTGTAGCTGGGATTACAGGTGTGCGCTATGATGCCTGGCTGATTTTTTGTATTTTTGTTTTTTTTTTCAGTAGAGACAGGGTTTCATCATGTTGGCCAGGCTGGTCTTGAACTCTTGACCTCAAGTGATCCACCCACCTCGGCCTCCCAAAGTGCTGGGATTACAGGTGTGAGCCACCACACCTGGCTGGAAAATTTTTTAAAGGTACGAAAATAGAGAAAGGTGTATAATTAATCTCTATGTACTCACCACCGAGGTTTATTATCAGCTCAGGGGCAGTGCTATTTCATCTGTGCTCCCATCCCCTGCCCCCTACCCCACCCCCAGATTATCTTGAAGCAAATCCCAGACATCATCACATTTCTTTTGTAAAAATTTTGATATATGTCTTCAAAAGATAGGGATACTTTAAAAAATATATAATCACAATACCATTGTCTCTCCTAAAATAATTAACAGTAAGTCCTTAATTTTATTTGATTTGCAGTCACTTGAGTTGGAATTTACATAGAGAAAATTTTAATAGATGGTGAATGGGAGAAAGGGAACTCAGATAGAGGGAATAACACATGCAAAATCAGGAACTGTGTGTAAGTGAAAGGTAATAAAAGTCTAATTTAAGGCTGTGGCACTGGGTGGAAAGGAAATTACAGATATCAGTCACACAGAGGTAAACTTAATGGAATTTTCCAGTTGAGGACAGCACGTATATCTTCCTTCTATTTCTGGTTAACAGTAGTCATTTTGAACCCTTTAGAACAGGGTTGACAAACTATGGTTTGTAGCCCAAATCCTGCTCTCAGCCTGTGTCTGTAAATAAAGTTTTACTGGAATACAACCACACCCATTTGTTGATGTACTGTCACCCCACAATAGGCAGTCAAGTAGTTGCACAGAGACTCTATGACCTGTAAAGCCCAAAATACTTATTCTGGTTCTTTATAGAAAAAGTTTGCCAGCCTCTGATCTAGAAGGAAATGGGCCCTGGATTTAGTGCTTGCTCTCAGAGGAGTTGCGTAGTGTGTGTCGATTAGAAACAGCCATGTCTTTGTGATATATAGGAGTCAGAAGCAGTGGATTTTGTTTTGCTGTCTTTATCCTTCATTTTATAGCCTGAGAAAGTAAGTCTAAGAATCTCTCTGCCTGTTTGATTATTATTTGTTTTTATATTGTAAATGTAAGCTCTATGAAGTCAGAGGGTTTTGTTTTTTCTTCACTACTCCATTGGCAGGGACACTTAGTAGGCATTCAGTAAATAATTGTTGAATAAGTAAGGAAATATTTTCATCTTTTTGCATCTCTTCTGTATTTTATACATTTAGAGTTTCTTGGGGAACAAGGATGGTATATTTGTAGGTGGCAATTATGCTATTATGTAAATGTGTTATAATTTTCCCCCAAAGTTTAGAAAATTGTTTGATTAGTACAATGGAGTATTAAGCAGCAGTTAAAACTAGTAATTATGAGAACTGTAGAAATGAGGAGAAATGTTTATGACAGGTCAAAATCTTATGCACACTGCCTCCCTAAAATACGAATAAATATGCACAGAGACCGGAAGGTAATGTGAAAATGAAATCGTTTTAAGACAGTGGAGTTTTTGGTGGTTTTTCTCTCCAAAGTTTTCTTTAATACTATTGCTTACTCATCTTTTCAGTAATGATTTTAAATATGTATAAACTTCCCATGCCCTTCCCTGCACTATATATAGAAATAGAATCTTTAGTGTGGATCACAAATAACACAATAATAGAAATTAGAGATGGTATTAAATCTCAGCATTGGTAAGGTGAATAGACATTATGGATAATGTTCTATTTTATCCTGAGATACACAGCTATGGTATACTTTCTGGGAGGAGTATGTCTATAAGCATCCTTGGTGGGAACCTGAATTGGGTTTACAAGCTTACATTTGGATAAAAACCTTTTTATTTGAGATGAAACCTGTACAGGCATGGTAGAAAGGTGTGACCTGAGTGAGAATGTTTGGGTTTTCTCAAAGCAGCATTCCTCCCTTCCTCTTATTCTGGCCAGTTTTTCCACAGCGTCATGCAAAGGCAGCATTTTCTAGTGGATGCAAGTCATTTGAAGTAGTTATTTGGTTTTCTTCTCATTTCACTTTTAGCCTGCCTTGAAAAATGTAGCTCAGGCCTGGCACTGTGGCTCATCCCTATAATCCCAGCATTTTGGGAGGCTAAGGTGGGAGGAGTGCATGAGTCCAGGAGTTCAAGACCAATCTGGGTAACAGAGGGAGAACCTATGAAAAATAAAAAATAAAAAAACGGCCAGGCAAGGTGGCTCATGCCTGTAATTGCAGCACTTTGGGAGGTCGACATGGGCAGATAACTTGAGGCCAGGAGTTCCAGACCAGCCTGGCCAACATGGTGAAATGGTGAAACCCCGTCTCTACTAAATATACAAAAATTAGCCAAGCATATCGACATGTGCCTGTAATCCTAGCTACTTGGAAGGCTGAGGCATGGGAATCACTGAAGGGGGAGTGTGGGGGCGGGGTGGAGGTTGCCATGAGCTGAGATCATGGCAGTCGACTCCAGCCTGGGCAGCAGAATAAGACTCTATCTCAAAAAATAAAATAATTAGGCGTAGTGGTGCCTGCCTGTAATCCCAGCTACAGGGTGGAGGTGAAGAGGTAAGCTGAGGTGGGAGAATGGCTTGAGCCCAACAGGTTGAGGCTGCAGTGAGGCAGGATCACACCACTGCACTGCAACCTGTATGACAAAGTGAGACCCTGTCTCAGAAAAAAAAAAAAAGTAGATAAATCCTTTCTTTGTACCTCAGTTCCTCCACATGCAAAATTGTGGTTCTTTATACATCTCCCAAGGTTGTGTGGTGAGTTTGCTGCTAAATAGGTTTTTGTGTTTCTTCTACCAAACTACATTTCCAGGATATCTGCAGTTGGTGTTTAAGCCATTGCTGCTGGGCTTCATGGAAACATTCTTGCCCTGGGCAGGAATTTTGCAGCACAAAACAAAATACAAAATATTTGACCCTTTCAGAAGCTTACTCCTTAAGGGAATACTGCCTCCCAGGTTTAGCAGAGAGGAAGATGAAGTACGTGTTCTCATTTCGTTCAAAGTGAAACCCGTACACTGTTCAGTGGTTTATGAGTCTATGTGAAATGATTGCCTGTGGACAGCACCCTCCACCAGTTGACCACCTACTACTTCCTCCCTTGTCATTCCCTTGCAGCCACAGAGGCTTCTTTGCTCTTTCCTGAAAATGTCAGTTATGATCTGTCTTGGTCTCTGCACTGCCTCTGCCAGATAGACTCACAGTTCGTTTTCACTCCTCCTCAAAGTGTTTGCTCATGTGTCACCATCCCAGTGAGACCTGTCTGTGCTTTCCACATTATTCCTGCTTCCCTTTCTCCATAGCACTTGTCAGCTGCTAACACTCTATATCCTTTTCTTGTATACTGTGTTGGTTGTTTACTGTCTCCCTGTTTCCAACCAGAATGAAAGCCATGATTTTTATTGATTTTGTTCACTGTTCTATCTCCGGAAGTTAGATTTGGGTCAGCCACATAGTATGTGCTTGGTAAGTATTTGTTGAATGAATGAGATGGCTGGGATACTGAGTTTCACCTTCTGCTTCGAATTCTTTTACTTATATGATTGTTACTACTATACCACATTGGCCAGGGATGCTCTCTTCCCCCTTTAATGAGCAAGGACAAAAAAGCATCATCTCTTGGTTCTTCCTTAGCATAACTGAGATAGGCTGGAGAGTTCAAGAAAATGTTTTGAGGGCTGGGCGCGGTGACTCAGGCCTGTAATCCCAGCACTTTGGGAGGCCCAGGCGGGTGGATCACGAGGTCAAGAGATTGAGACCCTCCTGGTCAACATGGTGAAATCCGTCTCTACTAAAAATACAAAAAATTAGCTGGGCACGGTGGCGCGTGCCTGTAACCCCAGCTACTCGGGAGGCTGAGGCAGGAGAATTGCCTGAACCCAGGAGGCTGAGGTTGTGGTGATGAGCTGAGATCGCGCCATTGCACTCCAGCCTGGGTAACAAGAGCAAACTCCATCTCAAAAATAAAAAATTTTAAAAAAAAGAAAATGTTTTGAGTACTAAGAACAGTAGAGAAACCAGCATAGAGAATGCAACAAGTATTACAACAGTCTGGCTTAATCACATTTCACTCTTGGATCTGCCACATCTTGCTTGCTCTCATATTTTGCAGGCCCCATCCTAATCTATCCACTTAGGAGAAATCAAATTCCAGCTTCATAGGACTAGTCCTGACCTTGCCTTGATGCCCTGCATGTGGCACCATCTCATCTGCTACTAAGGAGCTCCCTTTTGTACAAAAGGATGTACACAGTGTACATCATGACAGCTGCCAACTAGAGAACCCAACAAGGCCCATTTTCTAGTTTGAGCGTTGTGTTAGTCTGCATGGGCCACCATAACAAAATGCCACAGAACGAGTGACTTAAACAAGAAACATTTTCTCACAGTTCTGGAGATTGGAAGTCCAAGATCAAGATGCCAGCAGGGGTTGGTTTCTGGTGAGGCCTTTCTTCTTGGCTGCAGTCAGGCGTGTTCTAGGTGTGTCTTCACGTGGCCTTTCCTGTGTGCACAGAGAGCATACCTAAGCTCTTGTGTCTTCCTTTAATAAGGACACCAGCCCTGTCAGATTAAGTTCCCACTCTTCTGACCTCATTTAACCATATTACATCTTTAGGGTACTATCTCCAAATACAGTCACTTTGGGGATTAGGGCTTCACAATAGGAATTTGGGATCAGGTACAGTGGCTCCTACCTGCAATCCCAGAGTTTTGAGAGGCCAAGGTGGGAGAATCATTTGAGGCCAGGAGTTTTAAACCAGCCTGGACATCATAGCAAGACCCCCCCATCTCTACAAAATGTTTTTTAAAAAGTAGCTGGCAGCCTGGGTAGTAAGATCTCATCTCTACAAAAAAAAAAAAAAAAAAAAGCCAGACAGGGTGGTATGCACCTGTAGTTCAAGCTTCTTGGGAGGCTGAAGTGGGATGATCACTAGAGCCTGGGTAATTGAGGCTGCAATGAGCCATGATTGTGCCAGTGCACTCCAGCTTGGGTGACAGACAGAGGCCTTTTCTCAAAAAGAAAGAAGAGAGAAAGAAAAGAGAAAAAAAGGAAGAGTGAAAGAGAAAAAGAAAAGAAAGAATTAGCTGGATGTGGTGATGTGTCTGTAGTCCTAGCTACTGGGGGCTGAGGCAGGAGAATTGCTTGAGCCCAAAAATTCAAGGCTGCAATGAGCTATATTTGTGCCACTGTACTCCAGCCTAGATGACAGAACAGCAAGACCCTGTCTCTAGAAACTAAACAAAACTAAGAATTGTGGGATGCTGCAATTCAGTCTATAACAAGTGTACCTCTTTGACTGGAACAAATAACCTTATGCTTCAGGTACTATATCTGACACAGATACTATGGCCTTCATTCACTTTTTAAACTAGCATTTATTGAAGACAAAACTGTGTGCCAAGTTTTCTGCCGGGGGATAGCCTGTACCCTTTACCAGTAGAGGAGACAGAGCCAATTTCAGAGAAGGCTGGTGAGTACCTGGTGATGGATGGATATGTCAGGAAAAGTTTCATTGAGAAGGTCGCTTATGGCCAGGTGTGCTGGCTCATGCGTGTGATCCCAGCAGTTTGGGAGGTTGAGGTGGATCACTAAAGCCAAAGAGTTCGAGACCAGCATAGACAACATAGACCCCATCTCTATTTTAACAAAAAAGAAAAGAAAAAGAGAAGGTCGCATATGTTCTTTCAGGTCTGTCAAGAAATGTGAGCATGGTTTACCAAACAGCAGTATATGAGTCACGTCACCGTCACTATCATCATCACCCACCTTTATAGTAAGAAGGTAGTTCCTTCACACTCTAACCTAAGCCCTTTTTCTTCGTCTTCACCTGGCTTTAGTTCTTCTGCTACAGTTACTCCAGCCTCTCTCCCCAGTCTTTATCTTCCAGATGTTCTGCTGTGTTGTTTCAACAGCCAATGACTTTTCTGTTTACTGTTGATTATGAAGTGAAAATTGATTTTGATTTTTGTCTGATTTCTTAGTTTGAATTGAACCTTTAGTTCTCTCTCCTTATCTCCTAGCTTTCTACAAAGGCAATTACTGGTGTTAAATGAAAGTTGTTCCGTTAGAACCTACTGCTTGCCATTAATAAGTGATAAGGGAGGTTGTCAGCCAGCATTAATACTCTGTTTATGAAATTACAACTACCGATGGCAGCATTTTGTGACGTTCTTAAGATATAAACAGGACAAGTGATTTGATAAGTTACAGCTCCAGAGAATTCCTTACATAGTATGCCAACATTTCTTTTTCCCTCAGCGGGATACACGTAACATTAAATTAAGTTTGGCTTGGTTGCCATTTACTTTAAACGGATCTGGTGCCTGTTCTCAGATATGTTTATGAGAGTATAATTGATTTCTCTCAAAGCATTGAGATTGAGGAAGTAGCTATATCTTACCTTAATTTCATTGATGATTCATGGAATTGAAATAATTAAAAAGTACTCATTATGTGCCTTATTGCTTCATGACCCTTTGATAAACTACCAACACTCTTACCAAATGCCTCCTGATTTAAAAAAAAATTTTATTTTTTTAAATACATAGACAGGTTCTTACTGTGTCACCCAGGCTGGAGTATAGCGGCTTTCACAGGTGCAATTATAGCTCACTGCAGCCTTGCTCTCCTGGGTTCAAGGGATCCTCCCGCCTCAGGTTCTTCAGTAGCTGGGACCACAGATGCCTGCCACTGCGCCTAGCTAAGTGCCTCTTGATGTTAATGGAATGTCTTGTCTTCATAGCATACTCCACAAAAACCTCAAAGCCTGATAGATACTCTTTATGATCCTTCTCTTTTCTGTAGTTTCTTTTTTTAATTTTTATTTTTTGAGACAGGGTCTCACTCTGGTTGCCCAAGCTGGAGTACAGTGATGTGATCTCAGCTCACTACAGCCCCTGCCTCCTGGGTTCAAGCGATCCTCCCACCTCAGTCTCCTGAGTACCTGGGACTACATGTGTGTGCCACCATGCCCGGCTAATTTTTGTATTTTAGTAGAGATGGGGTTTCGCCATGTTGACCAGGCTGGTCTAGAACTCCTGACCTCAAGTGATCTGTCCACCTTGGCCTCCCAAAGTGCTGGCATTACAGACGTGAGCCTGCCTCATCTAGTCCGTCAGCAGGAGCTGTTGATTCTGAGCCCCTGCCTCCTGGGTTCAAGCGATCCTCCCACCTCAGTCTCCTGAGTACCTGGGACTACATGTGTGTGCCACCATGCCCGGCTAATTTTTGTATTTTAGTAGAGATGGGGTTTCGCCATGTTGACCAGGCTGGTCTAGAACTCCTGACCTCAAGTGATCTGTCCACCTTGGCCTCCCAAAGTGCTGGCATTACAGACGTGAGCCTGCCTCATCTAGTCCGTCAGCAGGAGCTGTTGATTCTGAACCCTCCCCATCCCTCGTATTTCCCTTGCTCTCCTGTTGTCCACACTGCCCTGTCTTACCTGCATCACACAGTAGCCATCAGACTGATCTGTTTCACTGCCTATATGCAGTTCTTCTCTACACAGCCGGAGAAGGCTGTGTAGAGAAGAGTGGTCTCTTTGAAATGCAGATCTGATGGTTGCACTTACCTGCTTAATATCCTCCAATAAAACCCAGACTTCTCCTGGCCTACAAGATCCTGTTAGGCTTGGCCTCTGCCGGCTCTCCAGCCTGTCTCTTCCCCGCTTCGCCTGGTTCGCTGCATGCCTGCCACATGGCCTGCCTTCTGCTGCTTGGATAGGAGAGACTCAGTCTCCTTAGGACCTTTATGCTTGCAGTTCTTTGGAATGCTTGGATCTCACAAAGTTACATGGCTGTCCCCTTGGTGTCATTCGCGTCTCACTCAGCTTGGATAGGCCTTTGCTGACTTCCCAGTTAGTCACATGCCTTTAGTCACTTTCTTAATATTTTGCTTTAAACTTCTTTTTCTTTAACATACCTTATCTGACATGATTTTGTTCATGTGTTTTACAGGAGAGGGGTTATATCTGTCTCTTTGTGACTGAGTTCTCAGTGCCTGAACAGTTCATGACATCCAGTAGACCCTTCATATATATTTGTTGAGTAAGTGACTGCTTTTTGCATTGTGCATGGGCCAGTGCCAGGGGTCGAGTTGTGGTGAACTGAGAGTACATGGGCAATGCTGAATGAGGAAATGAAAGTTATCAAAAGCCTCTGGTGCCTTGCTTATTCATATTAGATTTGTTCATAATAACAAAAGCTGGAAAGAACCCAAATGCCCATCAACACATGAATGAAAAAGCTGTGGCTATGATTTAGCTAAAAAAGGAACGAGTACTGATACATGGTACAATGTGGATGAATCTTGAAAGCGTTATGCTGCATGAAAGGAAGCCGAACACAGAAAAGCACATACTTAGGATTCCATTTTTATGCAATTTTAGAAAAGACATTTAATCTGTAGTAAGAGAAAAGTGGCTAACCAGAGCCCAGGATGGGAGAGGATAGACTGGGATAGAACACAAAGCTTTTAGGGTTATGGAAATGTTCTGTGTTTTAAATGTGGTGGTGATTACACAGGTATAAATTTGTCAGAACATAACAAAATGTACAATTAAATCCATCAACTTTATTGTATATAAACAATTTACCAAAGTTGAACTGGTGTTGGACATTTAAATGTACTTTGGATTTCTTTCGTTTACCTACCCACTTCTCAGGCAGATTACTTTTTTTCCCCTTTTTTTGAGATGGAGTCTTGCTCTGTCGCCAAGGCTGGAGTGCAGTGGCACACTCTAGGCTCACTGCAACCTCCACCTCCCAAGTAGCTGGGATTACAGGCACATGCCACCACACCTGGGTAATGTTTGTATTTTTGGTAGATACAGCATTTCAACATGTTGGCCAGGCTGGTCTTGAACCCCTGACCTCGTGATCCCCCTGCCTCAGCCTCCCAAAGTGCGGGGATTACAGAAGTGAGCCACTGTGCCTGGCGACTTTCCTTTTAATTTCAAGGTCTCCAGGCTACCTGCTGACTCATCCTAGACGTATTTGCATTCCTGTTTCTGAATCAGTTCCAACATCCTTTGGGTCTCTTGTCCTCAATCACTAGTTGACCAAACATCTTTTTTTTTTTTTTTTTTGAGATGGAGTCTTGCTCTGTCACCCAGGCTGGAGTGCAGTGATCTTGGCTCACTGCAACCTCCAACTCCTGGGTTCAAGCAATTCTCCTGCCTCAGCCTCCTGAGTAGCTGGGATAACAGGCACTTACCACCATGCCCGGCTAACTTTTGTATTTTTAGTAGAGACTGGGTTTCACTATGTTGGCCAGGCTGCTCTCAAACTCCTGACCTTGTGATCTGCCCACCTTGGCCTCCGAAAGCTCTGGGATTACAGGCGTGAGTCACCGTGCCCAGCTGGCAAAAATATCTTTCTAATTGCAGAGTTATTGGTTATCTTCAGATTTGCTATTCAAACTTACTTACCATCAAGTCAAGTTGGGTTTCAGCATCAAAGACTAAGTACCTCCAACAGAAATACGACGCTTTTACAACATAGCAAGCAAGAAAATAAAAATGTGGCCTGGCGCGGTAGATCACACCTGTAATCCCAGCACTTTGGGAGGCTGAGGTGGGCAGATTGGCTGAGGTCGGGAGTTTGAGACCAGCCTGACCAAAATGGAGAAACCTCATTTCTACTGAAAATACAAAATTAGCAGGGCATGGTGAATCGCGCCTATAGTACTAGTTATTTGGGAGGTGGAGGCAGGAAAATCCCTTGAACCTGCGAGGTGGAGGTTGCAGTGAGCTGAGATCGCAGCATTGCACTCCAGCCTGGGCGATGAGAGTGAAACTCCATCTCAAAAAAATTTTTTTGTAGCACATGTAGTTTGACAGGAAGATGTGAGAAGTGTATATTTTAAACTCTCAGTTTAGGTATGATGACTTGTGAACTTTGATCAGACTTCCTCTTCAGAAATCGTATTCATTATGTTTAGGATCCCTCCTGTTCCTGTTAATACAGTAGCTGAACTGAAAGCTGTGTTGAGATGTGGTAAACAGTTGACCATCTCATGATCAAACTCTTGCTCTGACATTAATACACTTTATTTTGTATCAAGCCTAATTTTCATCTCTTATTTTTCCTCCCGTTAGTTCCCAGAATCACCCAGTCCTTTATTCCTTTATTAATACTTTATTTTACAAGCAATATATGACCACAGTCTCATAAAGTACTTAAGCAACACATAGGGTATGATGTGAAAGTGCCACTGAAGCTCTCTTGCATCTCTCCACCTCCCCAGACAAAAATACTATTAAGAATTCAGCACACATTCTTCCAGATCTTTTCCTAAGCATTGACATAGGATGTATGTACAGATACACAGACATTGTCTACATAAGCAGAATCACTATGAGTTGTTCAGCTAGTAAGAATGTATCTTGGGGATATTTCTGTTTTTGTACTTGCAGGTCTATCTCATACTTTTTAATGGCTGCTTAGTATGCCACAGAATGGAGAAAACACATTTTGTTTAACTAATCCCACTAAATGGACATTTATTTCTAATTTTCTCTCTAACAGTCAAAAAATAAATTTAGAAAATGCAAATATTTTGTGTTTTTAGGGTCTTTCATTTCTTAGTTATATAATTCTACCTTTTTAAAAAGCTTATTAGAGTGGGAAGTGCCTCACGGATACTGTAATGTTAGAACTACACTGCCAGCACTTTGGGAGGCTGAGGCAGGCGGATCACGAGGTCAAGAGATCGAGCTCATCCTGGCCAACATGGTGAAATCCCATCTCTACTAAAAATACAAAAATTAGCTGGGTGTGGTGGCGCGCACCTGTAGTCCCAGCTACTTGGGAGGCTGAGGCGGAAGAATCACTTGAACCCGGGAGGCGGAGGTTACAGTGAGCCGAGATCGTGCCACTGCACTCCAGCCTGGCGCCTGGTGACAGAACAAGACTCTGTCTCAAAAAAAAAAAAAAAAAAAAAAACCACTGAAAACCTTATTTCAGAAGAAAGAGTTGAAAGTGAGTTAAGTTCTCTGTGACTGTGAGCTTCATTAGCATTGTGTCTCCAGGGCTTTCTCTTTAGGTGTGATTTTAAACCAAAAGCACCGTAAGTGGTTACATAATTTTCTTACGGTTTTTATACCTCCTTAGTTCAAAAGAAGCATACATCTCTATGGATTAGAACTAGAACCCTGGACTAGGCTTGGTGACTCACACCTGTAATCCCAGCTCTTTAGTGGGCTGAGGTGGGAGGATCCCTTGCATCCAGGAGTTAGAGACCAGCCCGGGCAACATACAAACACTCCATCTCTCAAAAAAAAATACAAAAATTAGCCGGGCATCGTGGCTCATGGCTGTGGCTCCAGCTACTTGGGAGGCTGTGGTGGAGAGATTGCTTGAGCCTGGGAGGTCAAGGCTGCAGTGGGCTGTGATTGTGCCATTGCACTCCAGCCTGGGTAACAGAGTGAGACCCCATCTCAACAACAACAAAAAGAACTAGAACAGTGACCTTTGGTTGTAACATGAAATCAGCAGTTGGTTATAATGGTTGCTTTAGGTTAATATTTTCCCATGGAGCTGGAGCCAAGCATTTGTCAAAAATGTTTTTTCTCTCTCCCTTTTTCAATTTGAAATCCTGCTAATACACTAATTTCTGTGGAACTGCCAGCCTCTACTGGTGACCAGCTGTTGATGGTTTATTAGCACTCAAAATATTTAAAACAAACAAGAAACCTCTCTTCACATCTCCTTGCCTTGTCTATGAAGATGCACAAATATGGAAAAGTTTGATGTTTAAGCAGAATTAGTTATATTTCAAGTAGACGGATTTGAATCTTTCAAAAACCCACATGAGATAAATACATTTCTTCAGCTCTGCTTTTCAGCAAATAGACTGGTGAGCAGGCTGACATTTGTCTTAGCTACCTAAGAAAGACCAAAATTGCCTTCCTGTTCGGTTTTGCTTGTGTGCTTAGTTATGAAACAGCCTGAGACCCTGTTTTCTTTTGTATTAACTGACCTCGGTATTAACCTCACCTTTCCTCCTCCTCTTTCTTTTTTTGGTTTCTGGTTTTCCTTTCCAATTTGTTACAAGTATGCTTAGAGCACAAAGGCATTGCAGTTGATAGAGATGATTATGTTCTCTGGCAGTTTCAGTTTTCTTGACTTTAAGCTTTCTTCCTCTTAGACAAATAATATAGGCAGCTGCCATATCTGAGGGTTTTAGATTCTTGTTAACCTTTTAATGTATTATAATTAAGATGAATTTGAAAAGAAAACCATTTCCTCTATTTAAGAATTGCCTTGGCAAGAAGTTGGAAATCCTAGAACCTTGTTGCAAAGGAATGTGTAGCTATTTGTTATGAATGAGTCTGCTTAGGTCCAGTGAAACCTTCCTGTTGTTAATGTGAAGTCAGATATCTTCAGTGAGGGAGAGACTGTTCTCTAAGGCAACGCAGCTAAAGCTCCAGGGGCAAAGGGCACAGCGAATAAGCAGGGGCCTGTGTCATGGATTTTGTTCACTGATCTGAAAGCATTTGACTGCTCATCTCATGTTGCTGCTTTGCCCTTGGTCATTAGATATTAGGTCTACTATGGGTCAATGAGACTGTCTACAGAAGGGTTCCAGTGCCCACCAGAAGTTGTTTGTAAATATGAAGTATTGCATATTATCTTTCCTAAGATTGTCAGAACCTAGAAGAACTGCCTTTGATTGATGTTAGAAAGCTCTTATGAGACATAAAGTTCATTTAATAATTCCACAAATACTTACTGAGCAACTATTCTGTATCTGGCATTTTCTAGGTTTTTGGAAATAGAGTGGTGAACAAAATAGATGAACATCTCTGCCTTCATAGAACTTAGATTCTAGCTGGGCACAGTGGCTCATGCCTGTAATCCCAGCACTTTGGGAGGCTGAGGCAGGAAGATTACTTGAGCTCAGAAGTTTGAGACCAGCCTGGGCAATATGGTGAAATCACATCTCTACCAAAAATACAAAATATTAGCATGGTGGTGAGTGTCTGTGGTCCCAGCTATTCATAAGACTGAGGTGAGAGGATCACTTGAGCCTGGAAGGCAGAGGTTATAGTGAGTTGAGATTGCACCACTGCCCTCTAGCCTTGGTGACAGAGTGAGACTCCATCTTGGAAAAAAAAAACCTAGATTCTAGTTGGGAAGACATATACTAAATAAGATAACACAAATAAATGGCATTATATAGTGTATTTGGTAGGGACCAATGTTGGGCAGAAAAAAAAATAAATGGGGAAGAAGGAAGTGTCAGGAGTAGTACTGTGGCTTAATTATTATTATAAATTGTTTCTTTTTGGAAACTATATGTATTGTCTTTTGTATTAAAACCATTGCTCTGAGAAGGGGTCCTCTGACTTCTCCAGACCACTAAAGGGATCCTGGCATTGAAAAGGTTAAGGAGGCTGGGTACGGTGGGTCACACCTGTAATCCCAGCACTTAGGGAGGCCAAGGCAGGTAGATCACCTGAGGTCAGGAGTTTGAAGCCAGCCTGGCCAACATGGTAAAATCCTGTCTCTACTAAAAATACAAAAATGAGTCAGGCATGGTGGCAGGCGCCTGTAATCCTCAAGACTCAGGAGGCTGAGGCAGGAGAATTGCTTGAATCCCGGAGGGGTAGGTTGCAGGGAGCAGAGATCATACTCCAACCTGTGCAACAAGAGGGAAACGCTATCTCAAAAAAAAAAAAGAAAGAAAGAAAAGGAAAGGTTAAGGACCCTGCATTAGAGTTAGAAGACCAGCCCTCAACGTGTGATTTAAAGATGTTGTTTCCTCTTTGATGCTTTATGTGATAATGATGTGGTAGACTTTCCACATACCTCCCTATTATGTCTGGTAATTGTGGCTTTAAATCATTTGAAGCTGTCATTCACTGTTGAGGCTAGTGTTTGTAGGATGTTTTTTCCATTTGTGTTCTGCAGAACCCCAGGGTACTCTGAAGCTTTTTTTTTTTTTTTGGCACATGTAGGGTCATTTTAAACTTAAGTTTGGATTATTCTCATCTGTGTTAGCCTAAACAAGTAATCAGATGCCTGGCTTTGAAGGCGGTAGAAGTAAAGAGAATAGACTAAGGGGTTGATGCATACTTATGGAACATAAACAGCATAGATTTTTAACAGATGCTAGAAACAGGTGAACCACTGATTTAACCTGTTTTGTGTGTATGTCACTGAGCCACTATCAAGACCTTGAGCCTCTACCTAGTGTCTGTTTAAAGATAATTTCTAGCCAGGGGCTGGGTGCTATGGTTCACACCTACAATCACAGTACTTTGGGAGTCTGAGGTGGTAGGATTACTTGAGCCCAGAAGTTCAAAACCAACCTGAGCAAAATAAGGAGACCTTGTCTCTGCAAAAAATGAAAATTCAGCCAGGTGTGGTTGTGTGCGCTGGTTGTCCCAGCTCCTTGGGAGGCTGAGGTGGGAAGATCACTTGAGCCTGGAAAGTCAAGGCTGCAGTGAGCCATGACTGTCCCGTTATATTCCTGCCTGAATGATAGAGTGAGACCTTGTCTCTGAAAAAATAAAAATGCAAAGGATATTTTCAGGCCAGGCACAGTAGCTCACACCTGTAATCCCAGCACTTTGGGAGGCTGAGGTGGGCCAATCACCTGAGCTCAGGAGTTTGAGACCAGCCTGGGCTTGGGCCAACATGGTGAAACCCCATCTCTATGAAAAAAAAGGAAAAAAAAAAAAAAAATATATATATATATATATATATATATATTCTGAGCTTGTTTTCTCATTATTTCCTTCTCTCCCTTCCCAGATATATTTTTAGAGCATCTGTGTCAGCTAGGAATACAGAAACTAAAAAACAAAAACGTTCCTTGCTCTCCTGATTGGGGAGATACAGATAACTGAATAATCTACTACAACATATTATGTATGGTAAGTGCTAAGATAGAGGTAGGCTCAAGTGTCAGGGAGGCTCAACATAGAAGTGGGAGGCCTGAGCTGAGTGGGAATCGGGGGTGGCCCAAGAAGGCTTCCTGAACCAGTGGCACCAGAATGGATGCGGGAGAGGCCCCCTGCTCCCTGCTTGTCCTCTGCTCTCTTCTGATGGGTAGTGTTAATACTTTTTTGGTTTAATGCAGGATCACCAGACTCTGGGGCCCACCACCTGTTTTTGTGTAGCCCATAAGGCATACCTTTCTAAGTACTACAGCTGAAAAACATCAGAATAATAATGATATTTCATGACATGTGAAATTATATGAAATTCAAATTTCTGTCTATAAACCTCATTGGAACACAGCCATGCTCATTCGTTTGTGTATGCTCTGTGGCTGTTTTCCCTACAGTGGTAGAATTGAACAGTTGCATCAGAGATCTTAAGGACTGCAAGGCCTGAAATATTTAGGCCCTTTACAGAGAAAGCTTGCTGACACCAGTTTTAATGCTTTAACTGCCCTACTGAGAGGCAGGAGGCCGAAAAAATGATGATAGTCAAAAGGAATGCATGAAATCCTGTTATCTTCTGTTAGCTGGTTGCAAGTAGTATGCAGGATATATTTGAGACATCTCTTTTCCTATCTCCCACCAAAGCTTAATCAGGCACATCTCAGCGCACAGGCACAGGCATTTGCCTCATTCTTGTTATGTCCATTTTGAATTGAATTAGGGGAATATTTTAATATCTCTCAAAAAGAGGGTATCTAGTATGAGTCAGAATGATTACAGAACATGCTTTCCTGGAGAATAGGAAATATGGGATCCACTCCTGGTATGCTGTTAGCTGAAGGACATCAGAATTGTCCTGTAACCTCCCTGCAGGTCTCTAAATGGTGGGATTGTTTGGTGAGTACACTAGAACATCTCTAGACACCTTTCAGCTCAGTAGAGACATTGCTGTATGGTAGAAGGAGTGACCTGGGCGTGAATCCTGGTTCTGTCGCTTTCTGCCCAGAAGACCTTGAGCAGCTTATCTAAATGCTGTGTACCTTTGTTAGCTCATCTGAAAATGTGGCTGTAAGAATGACCTCAGAAGAATGGAATGAGATCATATTCTTAAAACTCTTGGCTCTGGTCTGGGTGCTGTGGCTCATGCCTGTAATCCCAGCACTTTGGGAGGCTGAGGTGGGCGATTTACAAGGTCAGGAGTTCCAGACCAACCTGACTAACATGGTGAAACCCCATCTCTACTAAAAATACAAAAATCAGCCAGGCGTGGTGGCACATGACTGTAATCCCAGCTACTCAGAAGGATGAGGCAGGAGAATTGCTTGAACCTGGGAGTTGGAGTTGTAATGAGCCAAGACCGTGCCATTGCCTGGGCAACAGAGCGAGACTCTGTCAAAAAAAAAAAAACACCTCTATTAAATACTAATAGGTATTTAATCTACTATAACTGTGAAAACTATGTCTGTGAATGCTTTTTTATTTTCCAGCTCTGTCTGCTGGAACGCCTTACTTTTATTCTTCTAACTTACTTATCCTTCAGAGCCCAGTTCAGGAGACGTCTTCATGAAGTCCCCCTCGCCTCAGCCCTGTGCTTCCATAGGACCCATGCACACCTCTCTCTGCTTCCCACTGTGTATAGGCCCTACCTTCTCATTTTATTGTGCTTCACAGATGCTGCATTTTTTACAGATTGAAGATTTGTGGCAACGCTACATCAAGTAAGTCTGTCGGCACCACTTTTCCAACAGCCTGTGCTCGCTTTGTATCTCTGTGTCATATTTTGTAATTCGTGCGGTATTTCAAAATTTTTAATTATCTTATTGGTTACAGTGATCAGTGATCTTTGATGCTGCTATTGTGATTGCTTGGGGTGCCATGAACCCTATCCATATGAGACGGTAAACTTAACTGATAATGTTGGCGTGTGCTCTGATTCCTTTACTGATCGGCCGTTCCCACATCTTTCTTCATCTCCTCAGGTCTCCCCTACTTCATGAGATACAATATTGAAATTGGACCAATTAATAATCCTATAATGTCTTTTAAATGTTCAAGTGAAAGGAAGAGTTACATGTGTCTCGCTTTAAATCAAAAGCTAGGAATGATTAAGCTTGGTAAGGAAGGAAGACAAGCCTTTTGGCCAAGACAAGCCAAAAGCCAGGCCTCTTGCAGCAGTTAACCAAGTTGTGAATGTAAAAGAGAAGTTCCTGAAGGAAATTAAAAGTGCTACTCCTGTGAATGCCGGAATGCTAAGAAAGCAAAACAGCCTTATTGCTGATGTGGAGAAAGTTTCAGTGATCTGAATAGAAGATCAAACCAACCATGACATTCCCTGAAGCCAAAGCTTGATTCAGTGCAAGATCCTGACTGTCTTCAATTTTATGAAGGCTCAGAGAAGGCTGCAGTGTTTGAAGAGAAAAAACTTTGAAAAATACTTTTCAAAGTTTGAAGCTAGCAGAGGTTGGTTCATGAGTTTTAAGGAAAAAAGCAACATAAAAATGCAAGGTGAAGTAGCAAGTGCTGATGCAGAAGCCGTAGCAAGTTATCCAGAAGATCTAGCTGTGGTAGCTAGATGATGGAACGAAGGTGGCTACACTAAACAACAGATTTTCAATGGAGATGAAACAGTATTCTATTGGAAGAAGGTCCCATCTAGGACTTTTATAGCTAGAGAGGAGAAGTCAGTGTCTGGCTTCGAAACTTCAAAGGACAGGCTGACTCTCTTGTTAGTGGTGAATGCAGCTGGTGACTTTAAGTTGAAGCCAATGTTCATTGACCATTCTAAGAATCCTAGAGCCCTTAAAAATTATGCTCAATCTACTCTGCCTGTGCTCTATAAATGGAATAAAAAAGCCTGGATGACAGCACGTCTGTTTAGAGCATGATTTACTGAATATTCTAAGCCCACTCTTGAGACCTGCTCAAAAGAAAAGATTCCTTTCAAAATATTACTCCTCATTGACGGGGGAAGGGATGGGAGGTGGGTGACGGATAAAAGACTACAATTTGGGTACAGTATATATACTACTCGGGTGATAGGTACACCAAAATCTCAGAAATCACCGCTAAAGACCTTGTTGATATAACCAAGCATCACCTGTTCCCCAAAAACCTATGGAAATAAAAAAATACTGTATCATGTAATTAATGCATACATTAAATCTTATTGCAATTAAATTTCTGTTTTTAGCATGATTTGCTGCAATCAAGTTCTAGTATTTGAAATATTTTGAGCCACTAGCTTGATGTTTAATGGGATTTGATCCCATAGTAAAGAAAATATAAACCAAATAAACCAAAAGGATCTTAGAATTAATTTTATTTCATCCTCTATTTTGAAGATGCTCTGGATGCAGAGTGATTTTCCAGGGTCAGACAGCGAAGTCACGTTACATAATTCAAAGTGTATGAAAATATACGTTACAGATTCAAACAGAGTTACCATGGGTGTCTTTTGCCTCTAGTCTTACTCTAACCAGTGTCTGACTATGCCTTTGTAGGTAAAACAAAGTAGAAAACTGGGATACATTAGGTATTCAAGTAACTGAAGATAATTAGTCCTGTTTAAACTATCTAGGCAGGCCAGGCGTGGTGGCTCATGCCTATAATCCCAGCGCTTTGGGAGGCCAGGGCGGGCAGATCACTTGAGGTCAGAAGTTCGAGACTAGCCTGGCCAACATGGTGAAACCTCGTCTTTACTAAAAATACAAAAATTAGTCATGCATGGTGGTGCATGCCTGTAATCCTCGGTACTCGGGAGGCTGAGGCAGGAGAATTGCTTGAACCCAAGGAGCGAAAGTTGCAAATGAGCTGAGATTATACCACTGCACTACAGCCTGAGTGACAGAGCAAGACTCTGCCTCAAAAAACATCTGGGCAACTTTCATACTTATTTTTCAGGTATTTGCTTCAGTAGTCCACTTTATGTGTTAGTGTTCGACATTACTAGTGGGATTTTGCTCTCGTGCTCTATTTTCTGATTTCTATCACCAGTGGTTTCATAGTTGTATACAGTAATCTCTGGTTAGAGACAGAGGCAGTGGCCTGCTGGAGAACACACCAGACAGAAAGTCACAGTTCCTTGTTTGGAGCTTTACTTTGCCCTTGACTTCCGGTAATCAGGGTGTTTCTTTGTTCTGAAACACGCTTGTGTTAGTCACAACCAGGTTCACAACTGGCAGGTAATCCCCGAACGAGTAAATCCCAGTAGAACCAGAAAACTGGGTCTTGTTTTCCTTAATTGGAGCCTGACTTAGAATCAGCTATTGAACTGGAAAAAAAAAAGTGTTAGCCATTAGAAAAAATTTAAATTACTAGTCTGTCCATATTTAGAATTTCTTGCAATCATTTCCACTGTATGTAACACTGAAATCCTTTGTGGTTGTCTGCTGCAAAAATGAATCTTTGACCCAGCAACTTTAAATGCTTTTGACACCATTGGGAATTTTGAGAATTCTTAATTTAATCTGCACTTGTCCTGGGTGGGGGCGGGGATGAGGGAGAAGTGGTGTCCTTTTGCATTGGCAGTTATGCTGTCTGTAAGCAGAGGCTTGTGCTTCTGGAACTTATGTTTACCAGGGAATGATTATTAGCATAATAAGTATCATATTCTAGCTTTTATTTCTGGAGGTGGTAAAGAGCCAGCCAAGCAGAGAGAAGAGTGGGAGGTGACTGGCAGCAAGGTCTTGTCGCTGCTATTAGTGGAATACTGCTGCAGGTGGAGGAGCGTTTCATCAAAGTGAGAAGAGGAGGCCTTCTCTGTGGATGACTCTAACTTCCTGCATGCCTCCTCTTTACAGGCCTGCAGTGAGTTTAGGATGCAGATGACTTTCTTTTCTTTCCCATCCCAAGCCTATCACAGATTCTTTCTCTTTAACTGATTCTTGTTCTCTTAGTAATTATTTAGCTCTCAAGCAGGAACTTGTCCTGACAAGGAGAACAGGAAGATCACTTGACCAGGCCCTCTGGTTCCTGTCTACATAATGTGTCTAGTCCCTTCTCTCAAAGACTCAGTGTTTAGACTCACATGTCTCCCCGAAGGGAAGGAGGAGTCATTAAAGTAAAAACATACTTAAGTCAACAGGTTTTCTGAACCCTCAGTGAATTTTGAGTTCTCAGTGCAACCTTCCCCTGCTTCACTGTTCCTGTTTTTTCTCTGTGCCTCTGTTTTCCTGTTGGGAAAGTGGGAAGGATCCTGGCTGAGGAGGAGAGTGGAGAAGAACCCATGGGCCTGACTGCATCAAGGGCCTTCCCTCAGTGGAGAGCAGAGAACCTCCTGGTCCTCCTCACTCAACACGTGCTGTCTGTGTGTAAGACGCTTATGGGTAATGTTGAAGAGGTATAGTAAGAAGGCTTCTCTGTGTAATTGGGGACTAGAACATGCACAAAAAGACGAGTGCATCGGGGTACGTTCAGTGTATAACTTAAAGTAAGTGACAGGCATAGGATGGTGGGCAGAACCGTGATATATTTCAGACAGCAACTCAAGGACTACTTGTCTCTTTGTAGGAACACTGTAGTCCAAAAATGGCGATTGATATCCTGTGACACTTTTCTAGATTAAATGATCCTAATATTATACAGTAAGTGCTTTTATTTTTAGTTAGTTGAGGAAAAAGATGGTATTTTTCGGCCGGGTGCGGTGGCTCAAGCCTGTAATCCCAGCACTTTGGGAGGCCTAGGTGGGTGGATCACGAGGTCAGGCGATTGAGACCATCCTGGTCAACATGGTGAAACCCCGTCTCTACTAAAAATACAAAAAATTAGCTGGGCATGGTGGCGCGCGCCAGTAATCCCAGCTACTCGGGAGGCTGAGGCAGGAGAATTGCTTGAACCCAGGAGGCGGAGGTTGCGGTGGGCCGAGATCGCGCCATTGCACTCCAGCCTGGGTAACGAGCGAAACTCCGTCTCAAAAAAAAAAAGATGGTATTTTTTTTAAAAAGTGAGACAGAAAAAGGAATATGGGACAGTATATGTATCTCCTGGTATGTATGTGTATGCGCTACTACCTATAAAGCAGCCTTGCTGCTGAAGTACATCCCGAGTTACATAAAACGTCTAGATCTTACTATGTATTTATAGGAAATACGAGGGGTGGAGAAACATTGTAAATGGCTTTTTGGGAATAGAATCCGCAAATTCTAAACAGCATTATAGGATAAACAGACCAGTTTTTTCAACAAATAAATCATAAGGGGAAAGGTGAGAAAAAAGCCCCTATAGATAAAAAGAGATTGAAAAGATGAATGAACCAATAGTCATATATGATTGATTCAGACAAAATGAAGAAAATGTAAGGCAGTCTGGGAAATGTGGACACTGATTATTTGACGGTATTAATGGCATTAAGAAATTTATTTTATAAAACAAAAGACAAGAAGAAATTTATTTTATATTGAATATTGACAATAAGTAATTAAATTTTAAAAATTTGCTAAGTGTGAAAATCGTGGATACATTTAAAAAGAATATCCTTTAAAGAGACATATACATTAAATAGTTACATACGAAAAGAAATGCTGTCTGTGATTTGCTTCAGAATAACCCAGGCAAGGGAGTAGGTGGGAGAATCGCTGACACAGGATTGGTTATGCATTAAACATTGTTGAAGCTGGGTGTTGGATAAACTAGCCTCATTCTACTGTTCTGCTGTGCATATGTTTAAAAAATTTCCAAATATAGAGTTAATTTTTCAAAAATTTAACAAGTGAATGAGGGCTGGACATGGCGGCTCATGCCTGTAGTCCCAGCACTTTGGGAAGCTGAGGCAGGTGGATCACCTGACTCTCCCCTCAGCAGAGAATCGCGTGGTCCTCCTCACTCACCACTTGCTGTCTGTGGCAGGGCAGTCATGAGAGATGTTGAAGAGGTGTAAGAAAGCTTCTTCTCTGTGTTTGAGGAGTTCTGTCCTCTCAGGTGTTTGAGACCAGCCTGGCCAACATGGGGAAACCTCGTCTCTACTAAAAATACAAAAATTAGCCAGGCGTAGTGCGCACGCCTGTAGAGGTTGAGGCAGGAGAATCACTCAAACTTGGAAAGCGGAGGTTGCTGGGAGCCAAGATTGCATCATTGCAATCCAGCCTGGGCAACAGAGTGGGACTTATCTCAAAGGAAAAAAAAAAAATGAGTGAGTGAGATATCTTGACAAAAGGTGGAGTAGTGGTTGCCTGGAGCTAAGGTAAAGGGGCACTGTGGCTGCAGAGATATGAGGGATCTTTTGGGTTGATGGGAATGATCTGTGTCTTGGCAGTGATGGTGGTTTCATGGGTACTCATCAAACTTTTCATTTAAATGTGTGTATTGTATTTAAATTATACTGTAGTACGGTCAATTTAAAAATTGATTAAAATTAATAAGAAGGGACTAGGTCTGGTGGCTTACACTTGTAAGCCCAGCACTTTGGGAGGCCAAGGTGGGCAGATCACCTGAGGTCAGGAGTTTGAAACCAGCCTGACCAACATGGTGAAATCCCATCTCTACCAAAAATACAAAAATTAGCCAGCTGTGGTTGGTATGTGCCTATAATCCTAGCTACTTGGGAGGTTGAGGCAGGAGAATCACTTGAAACCCAGGAGGTGGAGGTTACAGTGAGCTGAGATCATGCCACTGCACACTCCAGGCTGGGTGACAGAGCAAAACTCCATTTCAAAAAAAAAAAGTAATAAGATTTTTTTTTTAAGTATTATTATTTTTTTTAAAATAGAGACAGGGCCTAACTGTATTGCCCAGGCTGGTCTTGAACTCCTAGCCTCAAGCAATCCACCCTTCTCAGCCTCCCAAAGTGTTGGGATAATGGTGTCAGCCACTGAGCTTGGTCATTAAGAAGGATTTTTGTGTATTATGCACATCTTGTGGAATCAGTAGTTTCAGAGGTGTGAGGCACCCAACACTGCCCGGCAATAGGGATTACCTGGCTTGTGCTGCATCTTTAATTCTTCCCTCCACCTCAAGTTAACTTTATCATTCATACTTCTGATTTTGCAGTAGTGTCTCACTTCTCTCTGCAGTGGTAGAGTCAACTTGAATTTTGTGATGTTTGTCCATGTGTCTGTCATCCAAAAGGCTGTGCATTTTTATACTACAATAAATGATGTTAGGAGGACATCTACCCATTTATGATGATAATTTTTTAAACATTCGATTGGCTGCATTATAATAGTCAAGACCTACAGGTACAC